GAAACAGAAGTAAAATTATCTGGATTCACAGGAGATAAAATCTTTTACATATGACTCCAAAGGACTATTTTAAAAAGTTATTAGAATTAATAAGCAAGTTTAACAAAACTGCAAAGCAGAAGATCAATATAAAAATCAATTTTACTCATAAACATTTGTGTAAGTAATTCGAGTATTAGAACAAGAAAAATTCTAGTCATAAAAACTAAATACAAATAAATTCAATAAAAGGAGTAAAGAAAAACCATGTGTTCTCCAAAACTAAACAGTGCTGTTGAAAAAAATATGTTTTAGTCTACTGAGGCTGCTGTAACAAAATGTCATTACCCTATACTAGTTATTAAAAACTCAAAACAAAATACCTAAATGTAAATGCTAAAACTTAGAATAAAGGAGTAAATCTTCATGACTTCAGGTTGGCAAACCTTTCTTTTTCAGATTTATTTATTTATTTTATAAACTCTTACCAAGTTAGTTATCATAAGAAAATTATTATCCAGACTAAGAAGCAAAAAACCCATACAAAACACATAAGACAATTATACTAAAAGGTACACTTTAAGATACATTGGCTATGCTGGATTACATTAACTTCCTTCTCTCTCTGGTCATGGTTTCTTAGGCACATTAAAGGCATATGAACTATAAACAGATTGACTTTCATAAAAAATCAAAAGCTTGTGGGCCTTTAGGGGAATAAAACACAACTATAGAATAGAAGGAACAGTTGCGAATCATGCATCTGATAAGGAGCTAGGGTCTACAGCACATAAAGAACTCTGGACTCACAAAACAAAAAAGACAATTGTATTGTCTCCCTAGTATAAGAACCTGAAAGAGTAAATAAAATCCAAAAGGTACAGTAGATACTGTAAAAGAGAAAGAAACTACTCAATAGGAAAGACCACCTGGAAGGAGGGAAAGGAGAAAAGAGAAGAGAAGAAAAGAAAGAAAGAAAAAAAGAAAGAAAGAAAGAAAGAAAGAAAGAAGTAAACATATATACAAGATAGCTAAGATAATTGAACTACTAATTTCTACTGTTTTATTGAAAGGAATAGTTAATACTTAACTTATTGACCAATTTTGCACGCTTATATCTGGTCATCTGAACAATTACTTTGAAGACAACAGTATGCAATATGCTAACCATTGCTGAATTCCTATCATCTTGTTTTTTGAAATTCTGTGTTGTCTCTTTTTTTTAAAAAATTTGTTTATTTATTTATTTATTTATTTATTTATTTATTTATTTATTTTGTGTATGTGTAGCCAGCTCAGCCCACCAGGGGGCGGGGCTGGCTGGCATGTGGTGCTGGAGGATTGAACTGTGGTCCCTGTGCTTTGCTTAGCTTGTTCTAAGTAGGTGCTTTGTGTTGTCTCTTTTTTAAAATTATTCTTTATTCCTTTAACACAAAAAAAAAAAAATGGGAAAAAGCTCTAAACAGACTTACCAACAGTGCCATTTTCTGAAGAGCCATAATTTTTGATTTTGCATGTGCAGAGCCCTCATTTGTTTCTGATCACCTTCCTCTGTGCCTTAGACCACTTCCAGTACCCAAACTCTGCCCTTGGAGAGAAGGATTTGAGACTTGTATCACCTTCTCCATGTCTACTTGTCCTGAATATGACCTCTTTCTCTATGGCAGAACTCATTGCTTCAGTGATTGGCACTGTTTGCTAAGCAAAACAGGCCGCCTTCAGTTTGATAATATAATACAAATCTATAAATGAACTAGGGACATGAAAATGAAAGCACCAATAGTCTAGATTCTAGGCCAGAAGGAAGATTCTATGTGCCCACACTTTATCTTCCTTCCAGTTTGGTATGAGCTCACATCTCTTAGATGGTTTGGTTAACAAATCCAGTTCAAATAGCCAATGGATTAAACTATCACTTTTCTGGGTTTCTTCTTTGTTCCTGGGCCATAGAGCTCTGGTGTGTCACAGGAAAAAGCCACAGTGTGGGAAGTGACTGAGCCATCTTACAACAATGAGTGACCCTTCCTTACTCCTATAGTGGTGTTCATGTGACTGCACAGAGTATCAGGGCTGCATGGTCCACTTCCCTTTACTGATTCAAACACTGACATACATCTACTGATGACATGAAAATCCATTTAGATCAAGTAGAACATCATATGCAAACACTTTTATTAATTTAAGAACATGACATTGCTTATTTATATAAAATAATCAAGTTAAGTACCCTCATCGTATAAGCTGCCGAGCAGCCTTACTCCAGCCCAAGAGATTCTGACAGCAGCGTTTATAAGTTCCCATAGTTTTTCAGTAAGGAATGTTGATCTTGGGGCTGGGGAGATGGCTCAGTGGAATAAATGCTTCCCTGGCAAGCACAAGGGCCTGAGTTCAATCCCCAGTTCTGCCAAAAAAAAAAAAAAAAAAAAGTGAAAAAAAAAAAAAAAAAAAAAAGAATGTTGATCTCATCCTCCGAGGCAGCAACAGTGATGTAGACAAGCACACAGCATGAAGTCATATGCTGCGATCTGAATGATGTTTGTGCTGTCATTATGTCCCGGGACCTCAGAGTGCAGCATCTGCCAAGACCAGCATTCAATTCATTGACTTCTGTGTCACTTGGCATCTCAGAAGAATTTCACACCAGACAGATTTTGCTTATTCCCAGCAAGAACTTCAGGTTTAGGCTTCCTGAGAGGCCCTTCCTCTGGTCTTTTCTTTCTATTTTTCTGGTCTGTCTCTCTGTCTGTCTGTCTGTCTGTCTGTCTGTCTGTCAGTCTCTCTCTCTCTCTCTCTCTCTCTCTCTCTCTCTCTCTCTCTCTCGGCACCAGGACTTGAACTTAGGACCTTGTGCTTGCTAGGTAGGTGCTGCGCTGCTGAGCTATATCCTTGGCCCCTGGCTACTGTCTTGCTTCCTTTTCTCTGTACTTTCTCTTTCAGCACTCTAAATGTTGGCCTGTCCTAGGGCCCTGTAGTTGTCCTAGGGCTGTCCTAATGTTCTGTAGCTGAGTCTTCTTTTTTGTGTGCAGATTTTCCCCCCAGAGTATCCCAACTACATGCTGATATTCTGAAAATACTTATCTCCTACTTGGTGCTCTCAACTGTGTTTTAGACTTGCATGCTTGTCTGTGCCCTGGGTACTCCTGTAAGACTTCCAGTTAGTGTCTTTAACTCAACGTGTACAAAACCCCATCTCAGTCTTCCACCCTGATAAATTTTCCAGTCTCAGTGTGAACATCCCCCACCCTTTCTTCTCTTCTTCTTCTTCTTCTTCTTCTTCTTCTTCTTCTTCTTCTTCTTCTTCTTCTTCTTCTTCTTCTTCTTCTTCTTCTTCTTC